CCGGATCACCCGCAGGCTGCTCTCCACTCCTGGGGAGGACACAGAGGGTCAGACCCCCCAGACTGGAGGGATGTCCAGGTCGGCCATTTTGATTATGTCACCAATATTTATTTATTTGACAGGGACAGTATACAATTGAACATTGCAACCAAACAGGTGGCCGATGTCTAAGTACATAAGGCTTGTAGCCATGGGCTAATCTGCCTTCGTCCCTGTTTAGGCTTTTAAAAGGTGTTAGCATTAAGGGGGGGGAGGGACAACACACAGATGCATAAGAAACAAGAGAAGTTCAAACAAAAAAAGAAATGTAAAGTACAAATAGAATAGGAAGATCCCAGGCAAGAAAATGGTAATTGCTTCATGGCAATATAGACATTAATTTAAAAATAGTGAAATGAATCTTTCAAACACTGAATTAAACTCTATCCATAATATTATGTTAAAATAGTGGATGTTAAATAGGTTTGGACAATAAGTCCAAACAAGTTTAACCAAAAAATATTTATTTCTCACAATTATGAAGGCTGGAGGGTTAGGGTCAGGGTTAAGGGTTAGGGTTAGGATTAAGGGGTTAGGTTTAGGGTCGGGGTTAGGTTTAGGGTCGGGGTTAGGTTTAGGATTAAGGGTTACGGTCAGGGGTTAGGGTCAGAGTTGGGTTAAGGGGTTAGGTTTAGGGTCAGGGTTAGGTTTAGGGGTTAGGTTTAAGATTAAGGGGTTAGGTTTAGGGTCAGGTTTAGGGTTAAGGGGTTAGGTTTAGGGTTAGTATTAAGGGGTTAGGTTTAGGGTCAGGGGTTAGGGTCAGGGTTAAGTTTAGGGTCAGGGTTAGGGTTAAGGGGTTAGGGTCAAGGTTAGGATTAAGGGTTAGGGTTAGGTTTAGGATCAGGGGTTAGGGTCAGGGTTAAGGTTAGGTTTAGGGTCAGGTTAGGTTCTTATGGTAAGGGCTAGGTTTAGGGTCAGGACATCGTTTATCTTCTGATTTTGTACAGACAGAAAAGTTGCGTTT